AATATTTACTGTTGTTGCTGATTTTGTGTTGGTGTTGTGTTGTTTTTTCTAGTATAACAATTTCCCTGAGGTTTTATACCGAAGGGATCAATAAAGTTTTATTCTATTCTATTCTATTCTATTCTATTCTATTCTATTCTATTCACACTTTGGACTCAATCCCGTATGTACAACAACAGGGTAATGTACATCAGGATCTACATCAGTTAAGCACACAACACGCAACAAAGACATGATCTGTCACACTTGATTTGTGTGGTGTCACGGGCAGGTGCAATGGATGGTGTATGAACCAATAGGATGTTGGAACAGTGTGTCTTTATGCTTCTCATCCAACCACAATCAAATTCACTCTGACCATGTCTCAATACTCAAGTACGCAAGTCCGTACCTGCCTTCTCGCCCTCTCGTTCTCTTCTTCTTTCTTGTGCTCTCTCTCTCTCTCTCTCTCTCTCTCTCTCTCTCTCTCTCTGTGTGTGTCTCTGTCTGTTTCTCTCGTCATCCCCTGCCTGCAGCCTGCCTGATGGCTGGGATTGGAGACAGCTGCAGGGATCGGCACACCTGTCCGTAATCACCGCCTTCCACAAAAGCCTGGTTCAGTCACTTTCACGTCACCAGATTATAGACAATAATTCTTCCATGTTGTGCCGATCCCCGACCAGAGGGCTGTACGACGAAGCGAGATCAGTGGATTAGCGAGGTATGTTGAGCCTAAAGCCAGAGTTTTCAGTCCCACAAAGGTGGCTCTCTTTTAACCTGGTTGTATCTCCATTGTAACATATGCTGTGGAGCTAACCTGGTCGGGAGCAGGTTCTGTTCAGAGTTTCTGATTTAAATTGACTGAAAGAGCAACTCCCTTTAAATGAAGCGTTTCCTGAAGATTATTTACGACCAATTCAAATTCTCTGCTGACGAGAAATGTTTGACCTGTACGTTACTAAAACCGCTGAATGAAACCGATGAAACCATGTAGTAAACCAGTATCACACACTGTATGCATCATGTTGCCATAGGAGCCAACGTGTATTTAGTTGGTGATGCAGAAATCGTACAAACATGGTTTTATGTTTGGTCTTGATTTGCTGTTAAATCTGTTTACTGCTGGTACTGCAGCTGATAGATCACTTATCAGATCATTTATCTATTGGTATTGATTACAGAATATTCAATCAGGAACATTCATTTCACTTCGATTTGGCCCCAAATTAAAGTGTCCTCCTGCATTATGGGATGGCGTCAGATGAAATGCACTCCAACAGAATGTCATGTTTATGTATGTGAACTTTAAAGTTTAATTGTTTTATCATACAGCTGTCAGTTTAAAAAAAAAGTGGCTGCATTGATTGGTAAAATAAACACATTGCACTCGTCTGCCAGTTTTCTAGCACACTCCCATTTTGCATCATTTCCAGCAGCAGCTTTATACCGTCACACATTTTAGATTTCTCATAGTTCTCCATTAAAACAACCTGCTGACTGAAGCAGCTGCACAGCATTGGTTCATTATGGCATGGAAAAGAGTCACATGATGCGTTAAACGCGCACTTCCATGAGAGTCTGAAGCAGAAAACCTGAGTTGACGAAGAAAGCTGATGACCACCTTCGTGGTACCATAGCCCAGCTTTCCTTGTAAGTCGACTCGACCAAACCTAAAGTCTCAGTTAGAGTTAACGGGTACCATGAAGGTGGTCATCAACTTCCTCTGTCAACTTTCTGCTTCAGACTCTGTTCACATGAACATCTGACGCATCATGTGACTCTTCTCCATCCCATAATGAACCGATGGTGTGCAGCTGCTTCAGTCAACAGGTTGTTTTGATGGAGAACTATGAGGAATATAAAATATGTGACAGTATAAAGCTGCTGCTGCTGGAAATGATGCAGGACAGGAGTGCTGATAGAAAACTGGTAGATGTGTTCATGTGCTGATTCTACCGATCACTGCAGCTGATTATTGATCACTGACAGCTGGACCAGGAAACTGATCAACTTTAAACTTCACAAATTTAAAGAACATTTAATCTGACGCCATCCCAGAATGCAGGATGTCACTTTAACCAGTGGACAGATCAAAGTTAATGAATGTCACTGGTTGCATTTTTTCTGTTATCAGTACCAATAGATAATCAATATTCTGATCAGTGATCTATCAGCTGCAGAACCAGTAGAGTAAACAGGTGTTTATGGGATGTCTGCATCAGCAGCTGAGTCCCTATGGGTTCCCATGGCAACTCGATACCTCTAGTGTGTGATGCTGTAACTCCACAGTTTCATTCAGCGGTTTCAGTAACATACAGATAAAACATTCTCCTTCAGCTGAGAATCTGGATCACTCATCAATGAACTTCAGGAAACACTTTAGTTGAAGAGACGCTTGTTGTGGGCGCTTTAGATCTGAACTCTGAACAGCACCTGGACCAGAGGGGTATACTACAAAGCAAGTTAGACATAGCCAGGCTTTCTTTGTGTGAGCCGAATCGACAAAACCGAAAGCCCCAGCCAGAGATTACGGGTATCACGAAGGTGGTTATAAACTTTCTTTGTCAACTCAGACTTTTGCTTCAGACTCTGTGCGCGTTCACATAAAAAGGGGCGTTTAACGCATCACGTGATTCTTCTTCTGCACAAAATGAACCGATTGTGTGCAGCTGCTTAAATCAACACGTTGTTTTAATGGAGAATAATGAGGAATATATTTATTTTTTAAAAACATGACGGTAAAAAGCACCGATACTGTAAACGGTGAAGACAGGAATGCTGGTAGAAACTGTTCAATGTGTTCATAGAGAATATTTACTGATGCAGCCGCTGGTTTCTAACTGGCAGCTGCACGTGAAAGTTAAACTTTAAAATTCATACATTTAAACATGATATTGTACTGAAGTACATTTAGGTCTGACTCTGTCCCATCATGCAGGAGATCACTTTAATTTTTGGCCCAATCAGAATGAATTTGTTATTGATTGAATATTCTCTGTAATAAATACCAGCAGAATGATCCATGTTCTGATCTGTAAACGGACCTGACAGCAAATCAGAGCCAAACATAAAAACATTTATGTTATTTCTGCATCGCCAACTTAAGATGTCGGGTTCCTATGGCAACGTGATATTTACAGTAGGGCTGGACCCGAACATCCAGATATCCAAATATTTGGTCGTTGTGGTGGTATATGATATATTCGCCCACAACCTGCCCCAGCCTGCACACCCACCACCGCCGCCGATGGTGGCAACAAAACTGCGACGCCAACCTAAACTGGCATCAGCAGCCAAGTGCTTCCTGTCCGTCGACTGTGTGATATTGTAACTACACGGCTTCATTCAGTGATATTAGTAACACACAGCTCAGCATGTTAGCAGATAAACACATTCCCTCAGCTGAGAGTCTGGATCGCTCATAAATAATAGTCAGGAAACGATCTGGTTAAAGGAAGACGCTCTGTCAGCCGATTTACGTCTGGAACTCTGAACGGAACCTGCTCCTGACCAAGTTAGCTCCACAGCATCAGTTACCATGGAGATCTAGCCAGGTAAAAAGACAGCCACCTTCGTGACACTGAAAACTTTGTAAGCTCAACACACCTCGCTAACCCACTGATCTCGCTTCGTAGTACAGCCCTCAGCTCAGCTCCACGGCGTCTGTTACCATGGAGACACAACCAGGTAGAAAAACCTTGGTGGTGCTGAGAACTCTGGTTTTAGGCTCAACATACGTCGCAAACCCGCTAATCTCGCTTCGTAGTACGGCCCTCTGGTCCTCGACCTATCCCCCGCCGGACATTTCCTGCATCAGCGACATACTCGCCGCCCCGAGCCCGTCTACACTCACCTGTGCTTGCTGCGGGCTCCGCTCCAGCATTTCCCCACAGACTCCGTCACTCGCTCATGCAGCGGTCCGCATAACCCGAGCCTCCCTGCCCCATTTACGTTAGATTATCCCGTTTGTTTGTAAACCCGTTTTGTTAGTTTGGGTCAATATATTCTGCTGAGGTGTAGTTAGTTTTCCTTCTTGTATTCTGTTTAGAGTTTAGTCGTCGTTATTGTAGAATTAGCACTTTTTTGTACGAGATTTGGTTTCGTTTCCTATCGCGATCTGCTTTGAGGTATAGCCTTTTTTTGGTATGAGGTTTGGTTAGCGATGTATTTCTGTTCAATAATTCCCTTTGTGAACTCCCCTGGGTCCGCATCTGCATTTGAGTTGTCAAATAATATTAAAAATAAATTGTGATGAAGTACTTTATTTTTAATTTAATTAACCATAATTAACATAATACAAGTCCCAGCCCTAGTGAAACTACGTTCATGTTTTAAGATTCATGTGCTTCAGAAAGACAAAACTGACAGGGTAAACAAACTTTCTGCTGGCTCGGAAGCAGACCTGCCGATTCCACTAATTAACGACCCATCAGCTCAGCAACCAATCAGAGCTCTCCAAACTATGCTTGCAGAGTCTTGCCTGCATGATAACCTGCCCCTGACCCCAGGATGAAGCGTTTTAGAAGACGGTTGGAAATTTTAAGGAATCGCCACAACAAATGTGAACGAACTCATGCAGCATTAGTCAGCAACCAGGTAAGAGATTTTATTTTCACCTTCATTACTGATAAATGCTACTTGTACTTCAGTATTTTATGACTGTGGGTGAACCAGGCTAAATAAAAACTGACAAGTGTCCTTCCTGAGAGGGGCCGACATCCACACTACTACGTTTTAGTATAAAATGTACACGTTTATCTAGGCTTCCACCTTCTGCTCACAGTTGCTCAGCTTTTTTTTTTTGCACACTGAAAAAGGGAGTGTAATTTGCTAACACTGCTAACACCATTTTAGTTTTATAACTTGGGTTGTGCTTCAGTGACTGATATGAACCAGTAGAAACAGACTGTATTTGCTAGTTTCCCACTGGCACAGTTGTCATTTCCTCACTCTGTGGCCTCCCTGTAAAACTAGGAAATGAATAGTGTTGCTAATTTCTGAGTATGGAAAGTGGGTATTGGCTGTTCTGAGAGTTGCTAGATGACATAATTGCATGATTAGCATTGTTGGCTATTGGCATATAATTGTAAGGGACGCTGTAAGAGAGGAATAATGTAGCTGGGGAGAAAAAGTGAGTAGAAAACACCCTAAATGTGTTTAAAACTACAAAAACTTTCTTCTGTTGATTCTTGTTTGTTTTTTTTTTTCAGGGGGAGAGGGGTTCACTTCTCAAAATAACTTCATGACCAATGCTTTGTCTAGACCCACAATGAATGAATGAATTTTGTCTTGTATTGTTACCTGTTAGACTACTACATTTTGTCTTGTATTGTTACCTGTTAGACTACTACATTTTGTCTTGTATTGTTACCTGTTACACTACTACATTTTACCAAGACTTCTGTGGTGGAGGGGTCCAGCAGCTTTGTGCTGGACCCCTCCCCCACATGGTGTGGGCCTCCTCTGATCTGACTGCA